ACAGATGCTCCTTCAGCTGAGAGAAACAGAGGAGCAGTTGATTAGGAAGATTAAAAAAAAAACGAGAAACAGACGGATAGCTGACTAGGGATTTGAAGACCTTTGTTTAAATTGAAATGACTGGATACATTAATAAATTCTCCTGGGTCCAGGAGAAGGGCCTACCCTACCATTGCCCCTGCTCTCTAGATCATCTCCCCCAGCCCCCAGTGTGAGGTCAGACCCAACCCTCCTGGGCTTCCATAAGACCCTAAAGACTTGGCTCTGCCAATTGGCTTGGGACTTCAATGGGGGAACATCACAATGGAGGTGCTTGATCAATTAATAACAGATTCCACCCCATCCTGCTCCTGCCCGCCCCATCTTTAATTGAATCGAAGTGTTTTGTCTCTTCTAACTTATTTATGCTTTTAGTATATTTATATTTATCTTTTATGATTGTGAGCTGCCCAGAGTTACCTTGTGATAAGATGGGTGGCCAATAAAGTTTTATAAGTAAGTAAGTAAGTAGGCAAGTAGGTAGGTAGGTAGATAGGTAGATAGGTTGGTATGTAGGTAGATAGGTAAGTAGGTAGGTAGTAGGTAAGTAGGTAGATAGATAGATACATTGATATGTAGGTAGGTAAGTAAGAAGGTAGGTAGGATAAGTAGGTAAGTAGGTAGGTTGGTAGGCTGGTACTTTGGTAGGTAGGTAAGTAGGTAGGTGGATAGGTACCATATTTCCCCAAAAATAAGACCCTGTCTTTTATTTTTTTTGAACCCTGAAATAAGTGCTTGGCCTTATTGCCATGTGCTCAAAAGCCCGATTGGGCTTATTATCAGGGGATGTCTTATTTTGGGGAAAACTGGGCAGGTTGCTAAGTACGCAAATCACACATGGTTTGGAACTCAAATATCTGAAGGATCATCTGATACTGTGTTTCCCTGAAAATAAGACCCAGCCGGAAAATAAGCCCTAGCATGTTTTTTTCAGGATTCCCTTAATATAAGCCCTACTCCAGTTAAGATCGTCAGCCATATGGATGTATTTAGTACCATATATTTCCCAAAATAAGACCTAACTGGAAAAATAAGCCCTAATCCTAATGCCATCTTTTGGAGCAAAAATTAATATAAGATCTGGTCTTATTTTGGGAGAAACACAGTACCACCAATTTCTTAAACTAACTTGTTCTGAGAAGAGTTAGCCAGAATGTTTAGTTTGGATGATATGGTAAACAAATTACAGATAGAACCATCAGTGTTTTGCAGGCATGCCTGTTAATGGAATTCTGAAAAATGTTGGCTTATTGTGACACACAAACCTGGCCAAATTTTGCATGGGCAATGGGGAAGCATGATTGGCAAACACAAAAGACAGGTCTTTATTGCAAATAATAATAATAAAAGTCTACGGAATCATAGCTGCTGCAAGAAATGAAGTTAGTCCTTTCGGAAAATATATATCTTCAAACTGGCCTTTTGAAAAATGGTCTTTTAAAAATAATCTACAGAAAATATTCCTGAAGAAGAAAACAATACATTTCATCTCAGGCTACGTCGCTGATTTTTTTTTTTTAAAGATATTTTTTCTTCCTTTTATATCTCGTGTTTTTAAATGTTTGATGATTAGTTATTGCTCTTTTTTTATTATTATCGATGTTCATCATATTTACAAGCAGATTGCTGGGCATTTTGAGTGATTTGTTTGAATGGAATTTTTTTGTTGCTGTGAGAAGTTGCTCCGGGATAGAGCCAAACCACAGGCCAAATATGACACATTGTGCAAGATGCGTTGGACCTCAGAGCCAATATTCCGATATTTCAGCTTCCAAAATGGACTGAATTCTAACAACAGCCCTTCTTCTGTGATAGATCTAGAGGTTGCTAGGATTGGGTCTTATAGTTGCCTAGCAACGACAACTCAACCTTTTCCATTCTGTGGAAGAAAAAAAAAAGATTGAACAGAGTCAAAAATATGACCAGGGATGTTGTGGTAAAAAAGTAAAGAGAAATGTAATGCTTAGCAACATTTTTTTTTTTTTTTGAGACAAATGTCCCATTGGACCAATGAATAGTTTATTCTTGTTTTTTGGCTCAACTGCTCACAGGTCTTCCAGAATTTAGACCAGTGGTGAAATCCTCCAAGGTCTGCTACTGGTTTGCTGTGCGTGCATGCGTGGTGCGCACCAAACACACGCTGTGTGCATGCATGCACAATGCACGCCAAATGCATGCTTTGTGCACATGTGCACCGCAGGCACTACTGTGCCGCATGAAAAAAGGAGGCTTAAGAAGGTAAGTAGAACAGCGAGGGGGGATAACAGCTGTGCCGCGCAATTTAGATTCGCTAGGAAGCAGGATTTCCTGCTTTCTAGTGAATATAAATTGCGCGGCACAGCTGATTGTCAGAAATACTGGTTCAGACAAACCTGTAGCACTTTTTTTTACTACTGGTTCGCCTGAACTGATAGCTTTTACTACTACCGGTTCTGCTGAACCGGTGCGAACCAGTAGCATTTCACCCCGATTTAGACCTATCTTGAATGTTCTTTGATGTTTTACTTCCTTTCTTTTCTAGATGTTGAGCTGTTGACTCATTCGGTTTTGAGGACACCTGGTTCCATAGCAACTCTGAGAGCTTGCAGGTAAAAATTAGAAGAAACTTAAGCGCGTCAAGGAAAAAAGGAGTAAATTGACCTGAAGCAAAAGTACACAATAGCTAAACAACAAAAGGGTTAACCCAGGGGTGAAATCCAGCAGGTTCTGACAGGTTCTGGAGAACCGGTAGCGGAAATATTGAGTAGTTTGGAGAACTGGCAAATACCACCTCTGGCTGGCCCCAGAGTGGGATGGGAATGGAGATTTTCCCTGGATTGGGGTTGGGAATGGAGATTTTGCAGTATCCTTCCCATGCCACGCCCACTGAGCCACACCCACTGAGCCATACCACACCCACCAAGCCATGCCCTCAGAACCAGTAGTAAAACAATTTGGATTTCACCACTGGGTTAACCGATAACTTACATAGCTCAGGACCTAGAACAGCGACCAGGTCTTAAAAAAAAAGTTTGCAGAAATTTTGTGACAGCTATGACAATTGAACAAAGTGGGGTGGAGTGTGGCAACAATCTATCCAAAAATGTCAACACACAGAAACCAATAGATTAAAACCCTTTGGCATTTTTTCCAGTTTTCTTTTAATCTTTGTGTGTTTGTATGAAACACGCATCACAAAATAGCCTGTTTCTAGGAAAACAGAAGCAGGAAAAGAGAGCCACCACAAAGGAGCTCTGTTGATTGCTTTGCAAAACTTGGAACTGGTTTTATAACAGAATAACAGAGTCGGAAGGGGCCTTGGAGGTCTTCGAGTCCAATCATCTGCTCAAGCAGGAGACTCTATGCCAGTGCTCTGCCCCAGCTATGGACCCCAAAGAACGCAGCACACACAAAGTCTGTACAAAACTTAATTTACTAAAATAACTCAGTCTTTTTCAAACAAAGGCTGTTAATAAACTTTCTTAACAGCCTACAAGAAACCAAAGATAAAGTAATCACAATCTTACTATGGTTGGCAGAAAGCCCAGAAGCAATTTGCAGAGAATCCAGACGCGAAGGAGAGTGAACAAAGTTGTTCCCTACAAATTGCTTCAGTCGGCGTTCCTCCTTAAATAGGCTAAGGGAGTGGCCAATTAGCCCCAAGCCTTAGTCTCGAGGAGACTTCCTCCTGAGGAGCCACTCCTGCCTTTTGGTAGCTCTGCGCGCCCGTGCATTGAGAAGAGGCTCCTCCTCTTCGTCCTCTTCACTTAAAGGAGCCTCTGGAGGTTCTGAAGGCCCTGGCTGAATCTCCACCTCTGGCACCACATCTTCTCCAACCTCCTCATTGTCTGACTCGAGCGCCAGCTGCACAGGCTGCTGGCGCAGCACCACATCAGCCTCCTCACTGTCGGAATCAGCCACAATCCGCACAGGCCGCTGACGGGCCACAACAGCCAGTGGTGGTGTACCTTTTACTCACCGAGTGCTGAACAGGTATGCACTTTGTGCGCATTGCGCTTGCGTGTGCTATCCATGCTAACGTGTGGTTCCTCCTTGTGTGCTGCGCATGTAACCGCACCATCTGCGCATGCACCACTTTCACGCATGCTCCCTGTACGCTGCATGCACAACCACGCCATCTGTGCACACGCACGGCTTTCGAGCAACTCCCCGTGCGCTGAGTGTGCAATCACACCCTCTGCGCATGGTTTTTGTGCACGCAATGCACGTACACAAACACTGTCTATGGATGTGCTCGCTGTGCGCAAATACTCTCGTGCACGTGCGCAAACAGGAGTGCATGCGCAGGAGAGCTCCGAAGACCAGCTGGGTCCCCTGAATTGCGTGCATGCACACCGGAGGCCCCAACACCAGCTGGGTTGCACGCGCATGCGCAGCTGCAGGTGAGTTGGGTGACAGCTTGCCTGCCCGGAAAGATGGCTCTGCGTGCCATCTCGGGCATTCGTGCCATAGGTTTGCCATCATGATTCTATGCCATTCTGGATAAAATGCGCTATTGCTTAGTGCATTGTAAGCCACCCTGAGTCTCCGGAGAAGGAGACTCAGGAGAATCAAATTTAAAAAAAAAAAAAAATGGTTGTCCAATCTCTTCTTAAAAACCTCCAGTGTTGGAGCACCCATAACTTCTGGAGGCAAGCAGTTCCACTGGCTAATTGTTCTAACTTGAATTTGAATGTTAGAACTCTTCTATCCTACAGAGAAGAATTAGATTATATGATTTCCACATAGGAAGCTGCAGAATTTCCCTTCCCTTTTGAAGGGTCATTTTAATGGGTCTTATAAGTAAGAGCTTTAAACCTCATTGTTAGGAAATGGTCATTGTCTAACTAGTTGGCCAGGTAATATATAAGCCAACATTGTATGTTTATTGTATGAATATGTATAATATCACTTTAAGAGTATTATTGAGTCATTCTGCATCCTGATTGGATGAGCTCTGTAGCAACTGTATTCAAGGAGACCACTGATTGTGGTCAGTGTGGACATTACACCATATTGTTACCTGCTGCTCCTTTGATCTCTTTACATGGTCAATTTGATCATGGTTTATTTATTACTGCTTTTATGAACTGTTTTTATTGTTCCTGAATGATTCATGTATTGTTCTACGAACCGGTAAGAAGTTTTATATCTCTGGATTGATTATGCATGGCTAAGACTTGGATTGGTAAAAGACTATGAATTTGCTTTGCTCTATAAGTAAACTACTTTAAAAACCAGTTTGTATGCAGTTTATTCACAACTACTCTCAGCACCGTTTCCGTGTGCAAAACTCTACGCTCTGCTTTATAACCATTCCTGGTTATCTTGCAACTATATCCTTAACACTCATTTAAGATTCAATTCAAAACTGCAGTATGCAATTCAAAACTGCAGTATGTATGTGTCAGACTTCAATGCTATCTCAAAATAAATGAATTTCCAAACTGCCAATCTTTAAGGAAATCTTTTCTTTAATTGAGCACAGCAACCGGATCATGACTCGATGCGGACAAGACTGACCTTTTGCCCCCCAATCCCTCCCTTTCCGATCCCCAAATCTCTGCTTCTCATTGGCTATCTTCCAAGTCATTCTCCAGACTTCTTGTCTCGTCATTTCCCAGGAATGTCTCCCCCCTCCTCATTTCCACGACAACCCAGCTTCAAAGGAATTTAGCAGGCAAAAGTTCAGAGCTTATCTCTCTCTCTCTATGCCAGCGCTGAGGTGCTGACAGTATGTATGTATGTATGTATGTATGTATGTATGTATGTATGTATGTATTGGAATTTGTCAAACAAAAACGAGAACAAGAATAAGAGAATAAAACTACAATGACAGGGACGTTAGGCACATTAATGCGCTTATGCACGCCCCCTCTACTTACCTCTTAAGTATGAAGTAAGGTCCACAGAAGTCAATTTGTGACGGAAACTGTGAAAATTTGAGACAACTGAATTAGGTAGGGAGTTCCAGACTTTGACAGCTCTATTACAGAAATCATATTTTTTACAGTCAAGTTTAGAATGATTTACATTGAGTTTAAAGCAGTTGTTCGGGCACGTATTATTGCGATTAAAACAGCAAAAATCATTTACAGGTAAAACATTACTACGTATAATTTTGTATGCAATACCGAGGTCTGACCGCAAGCAACACAGTTCTAAGTTATCCAAACTGATAAAATTGCAGTTTTGTCCCGAATTTTAAGTTTATTTTAAAAGGTAGATTGTTTGCCTTTCTCTCTCTTTTAATCTTGGAAGGGAGGGAGGAAGGGAGGGAGGGAGGGAGGGAGGGAGGGAGGAAGGAAGGAAGGAAGGAAGGAAGGAAGGAAGGAAAACAATGAGAAGGAAAGAAGGAAAACAAGGAAGAAGAAGGAAGGAAGAGAGGGAGGAAGGAAGGAAGGATGGAAAGAGGAAGGAAGGATGGAAAGAGGAAGGAAGGATGGAAAGAAGAAGGAAGGAAGGAAGGAAGGAAGGAAGGAAGGAAGGAAGGAAGGAAGGAAAGGGGGAGAGAGAGAGAGGGAAAGAGAGAGAGACCAAAGAAATTCCAAAGATTCAGTTAAAAGAAAATGTTGGTTCATGGGATCCAAATTTTTGGTTTCAACCTACTGTATGACATAATGAGAATGTTATTTAGTTTTGACACTAATATTATTAGTGGAAAGATGAGAATTAACTCTCCTCCAGCTTAATTATGCTGCTTAAGGGAATTATTCTGTGCTTTTTAGCTTCTCAACAAATAGGATCACATTAGCTTCAGTGTAACAGGATTCCTGGTTTGCTTTTGTGTATATTTTGGCTTTAAAAAATGTCAGGAAGCAAAGCACACACAAGTAAGTTAGTGGGGAAAGGGGGATTTGGGATAAATAACCAGTCCTTTCCTTGACTCTTTCTACTTGTTAGAGAAATAACACAGGAGCAAGCACATGTAATGTAAAGAGTCAAGTTTTTGAATCTAAAAAGTTGCCGTGTAAAATGTTAGATAATTAACTGGATTTCTCCACTTTTAACATGGATGCTGACTGATGTCATATGGAATATGTCTTTCCATTAGAGAGAGAGAGAGAAAAAAGTTTAGGTAAGAACTTCCCAAAGATCTTTAGTAATTTTGGAAATATTTATCTGAAGGAGAAAAGGGGGTGTGAATAGCTCTGATTTAACTAGAGATACCACTAAATCCAACTCAAAGACAAAGCTGAAGGTGAATAATTGAGGGAACCCTAGATGGCAAAAATAGATAACTCTGGAATAAAATTACAACTGTATAATAACAAAAGAGAATTCAGAGTGAATAGAATCAAAGTCCTTATTTCACACCAACTTGACTTGTGATCTATCCTTCCTTCCTTCCTTCCTTCCTTCCTTCCTTCCTTCCTTCCTTCCTCTCTCTCCTTTCTACCCCATCTTTAATTATTTGTATAAATAGTTCAAGGCAGTGATCATACTCATACTCTTACCTCCTGCTATTTTCCCTACAACAGCAACCTTGTGAGGTGGTTTAGGCTGAAAGAGAGAGAGATTAGCTCAAAGTCACCAGCTGCCTTTCATTCCTGAGGTGGAACTAGAACTCACCACCCAAAGTTATCCTGCTGGTTTTTATGCCTAAAACGAGACTAGAACTCACAGTCTCCTGGTGATTGGCCCAAAATCACTCAATTGGCTTTCATGACTAAGGTGTCACTTGTTTTTAGTTGCGAAGTCATGTCCAACTCATCGTGACCCCATGGACAACCTTCCTCCAGGCCTTCCTGTGCTCTATCATCCTCTGGAATCTATTTAAGCTCACTCCGACTGCTCCAGTGACTCCATCCAGCCACCTTGTTCTCTGCCGTCCCCTTCTTCTTTTGCCCTCAATCGTTCCCAGCATTAGGCTCTTCTCCAGGGAGCCCTTCCTTCTCATTAGGTGGCCAAAGTATTTGAGTTTCATCTTCAGGATCTGGCCTTCTAAAGAGCAGTCAGGGTTGATCTCCTCTAGGACTGACTGATTGGATCGCCTTGCAGTCCAAGGGACTCTCAGGAGTCTTTTCCAGCACAAGCTGTCACTAGAACTCACAAACTCCTGGTTTCTAGCTTGGTGCATTAACCTTCAGACCAGGTCTGCAACCTTAAACACTCAAAGAGCCATTTGGACCCGTTTCCCACAGAAAAGAAAACACCGGGAGCCACAAAACCCTTCCTGTGCCTGACTATTTTTTGAGCGGCCACAAAACTAGCATATGTAGTTGAATTAAATGTTCTGTTTTCTTCTGAAACTTTTCTTGGATTTATCCATGGTTGGCCTACCGGGGGTTGAAAAGTGCAATAATCGCGTGCCGGTGGGTATCGCACATTGGCGGTTGTGACGCATATTTTGAGTGACAGGAAGCCGCAGCAGAGGGGTGAAAGAGCCACATGCGGCTCCAGAGGCGCAGGTTGCTGACCCCTGCTTTAGACCAAACTGGCTCTTGGTAACTTCAATCAAGAGAAGTTGAATGCATAAGAGAGAGATAGACCTCACGGGTTGTGTGACTGTCTGTGTGTCTGTGTGTGTCTTTGTGTTTAAATGTTCAAATAATCTCCATCCTTTTCTCTCCGGCGCTGCCTTTCCACTGGGCCATTATCAATTTTTTAGATCAGCGATTTGCAATGGCATAGTCCGTGCAAGCACCTGAAGCAGTTGCTGCCTCTTTGCTCTCTTCCCTAACATATCAATATTTCACAAAGTCACTGGGAATTTCATTGTATAAATAAACGGCAACAGCCAGGACAAAAAGTACAAAGTGAAGCACTGTGTGGGTAACTCCAGTGACTTGACATAACACGGTGTTTTATGGCTGAAGCCATCTGTAGTGAGCATATATTTTACAGGAGGAAAGGGCCTTGGAAATTTTTGTACAAAAGCGGCAATCCAAAACCAGAGTTGTTAAGGGCGATAAGAATGGTCAAAGCCAACAGATAAACTGCCAACAATTTCGACACTTTCTTTGTTTTCCCTTCTGGCGTAAATCTAGAGGAATCATATTGAGTCGTCTCTGCAAACATATGTCCTTCCTCAGGTCCAAGCAAAGACTGCAGATGCCTCTTTCAAACATATTTCCTCTAGGTACTGTAAAGTGTCTACCATCGCAGTTTAATTTCCTGGGATCCTGATATACATTAATATTATGCATCTCCTTTTGGAAAGTTTGTGTAATTGGTAAATATATAGGAACTACAGTCTCTCTGGAAGTTCAATTAAATGGAACGTGATTTGCTTCTGGCTAGTCAAGCAGAGCTTATAGTGTAGCAAAACCATTGAATAGAATCAGGGGTGGGTTCTACTTACCTTTACTACCGGCTCGCATCGCACCCGCGTGCTCATCTGCGCATGCGCAGAAGCTTATGTGCATATGCAGATCACCTATGATGATGTCCGGGCGGAGTGGGTGGAGCCTCCCACCAGTTTTACTACCAGTTCTTGAGAACTGGTCTGAACCAGGGGCAACCCACCACTGAATAGAATAGAATAGAATAGAGTAGAATAGAGTAGAATAGAATAGAATAGAATAGATAGAATAGAATAGAATAGAATAGAATAGAATAGAATAGAATAGAATAGGATAGAGTAGAGTAGAGTAGAGTAGAGTAGAGTAGAGTAGAGTAGAGTAGAATAGAATAGAATAGAATAGAATAGAATAGAATAGAATAGAATAGAATAGAATAGAATTTTTTATTGGTCAAGTGTGATTGGACACACAAGGAATCTGTCTTTGGTGTATATGCTCTCAGTGTACATAAGGAGAATAAAATATGTTCATCAAGAATAAAAAGATACAACACTTAGTGATAGTCAAGGTTATTAATAAGGTATCAAATCATACTAGGAAACAAGTAAAAACAATATAAATTGAAAGATACAAGCACATGGTTATAGTAATAAGTGGGAAGAGATCAGGGGTGAAATTCAGCAGGTACTGAGAGGTTCTGGAGAATCAGTAGCAGAAATTTTGAGTAGTTCGGAGAACCGGCAAATATCACCTCTGGCTGGCCGCAGAGTGGGGTGGGAATGGAGATTTTGCATTATTCTTCCCCTGCCATGCCCACCAAGCCCTGCCCACAGAACCAGTAGGGAAAAATTTTGAATTTCACCCCTGGAAGAGTTAGATACCAGTAAGGAAGAGAAGAATAATAGTAGTACGGTTTTAGCAAATTATTTGACAGTGTTGTGGGAATTATTTGTTTAGCAGAGTGATGGCGTCCGGGAAAAAACTGTCCTTGTGTCTAGTTGTTCTGGTGTGCAGTGCCCTATAGCGTCGTTTTGAGGGTAGGAGTTGAAACAGTTTATGTCCAGGATGTGAGGGGTCTGTAGATATTTTCACAGCCCTCTTTTTGACTCGTGCAGTATACAGATCCTAGACCACGTCCACCCAGCAACCAGGCAGAGAACCCCTTGTTAAAATTTTTGAAGCCCACCCCTGCAAAGGTATAATGTTAAGAAATCTTCTCCCCTCCCCCTCCCCCTCCCCCTCCCCTTTCCGCTCCCCCTCTCCCTCCTTCTCCTCCTCCTCCCCCTCCCCCTCCCTTTCCCCCTTCTTCTCCTTCTTTGCCTCAATCTCCACCTTTTTCTTTGCTTTCTTCTAATGTTCACCATCCATTGATCATGATAAGTTTTGGTACTGTTTGCAATTGTACCAGGGCAATATCCTTCCCCCAGGAGTGGGGAGGGAATGGGGATTTTGCAGTATCCTTCCCCTGCCACGCCCACCAAGCCATACCCACAGAACCAGTAGTAAAAAAAATTGGATTTCACCACTGAATTGTTACCCTCATTGTAACCAATGGCAGATTGGTGTAGGAGGAACTATGGAAGGAATCAAAGCTATTCTGCCACAGAACAACACACTCATGGTTTAACTTTGGTCATGGGTAAGAACTGAGGCCACATATGTTGTTCTAACTAGCATTAAGTGTTGCCGACTTATACAGTTGCTGAATAATCAACTTCTTTCCTTACTAATGCATGTAAATCAAGTTCCCTGTTGATCTGATCACTGACTACATTTTTTACTAGGAAAGTCCAGCCTTGCCCTTCTTCAGCAATCAGTCTCCTTTGCAGGAAGCAAAGGATAAGAATTTAAATCTTCCAGCAAGGGGAAAAAAAAAATGCTCACTACTGTTTAATACCAGCGCATCGTATGTGAATAGTAAAAGCACAGTGCTATGCATGCTTATTCAGAAATAAATGCCACTCCGTTTTGATAGAACTGACAGATAAAAATCACCTTCCAACTGAGCATGGCTCCTGGTGATTCTGTGGACATGCCTCTGCAGATTTCTCGACAAAAGAAGAAGGGGAAAAAAAAAAAAGACTCCATTTCGCTTATTCCTAGATATTTTTTTTTGGACTTGCGTGACCTGGAGCTCAGCAGCAACGAGACGAGAGAAAGCATGCTGAGGTAGCCCCTAACCCCAACAAATACAAGAACTTTGCGAGGGAGAGAAAAGGTTGCCTGCCACTTTGCAAACTTTACGGTGGTTATTTCTTATAAAGGAGAAAAACCATCAAAGGCTTATTTATGTGGCTAGATCAACTTGCAAAGCTCTAGGAGGATGGAGTTAACCCAGGGCAAAAGCCTATTGTTAGGAAACGCGAGCGCTGCAATAAAATATTTCGTGCGGGGATTGTCTGGGCTGCTGCGGTATGTCTGATTCTCGGAAAGCAAAGAACCCTCACAACCTTTTGAGGGAGCAAATGGAAAACGATCCTGCCTATACTTCCAGCTGCTTCATTCTGCCCACACAAGTGTACCCTGCATGCTGCGATCATTTTATTTTGTCTATTTTATTTTTTTTTAAAAAAAACCTCTATTCTTTTTTTTTTTTCCCATGTTAAAGGCAACTGCTCACAAAGAGACTTAACATCCTGGAAGTGGACAGAAAGCACTGGCCTTCTCCGATGTAGATCCCCGCAGACGTATTGGATTACCTGTTCTGACCTAGGCTTCTTCCCCAGCAACACGAAGCCAAGTCCTTGTCCCAATAAACCCCTTTTATTTCATTTATTTATTTATTTTATTCAATTTGTATACCGCCCTTCTCCTAGTGGACTCAGGGCGGTGCACAGCCAGAACTAAAACACATAACAATACAAAATTTAAAATTATTAAAAGAATTATATACTTTGGCCCAAATTTAAAACAATTTGAATTAAAACCCATTGACAGATTAAAAGCTAAACAATTAAAAAACTAAAAAAGGGGGCGGGGTTCACGCCAGCCCTGTTTGATGGAAAAGAAAAGTTTTCAGGGCACGGCGAAAGACCCGGAGATCCGATATCCTTCAATCATTCCAGCGGGCGGGTGCCCCCACAGAGAAGGCTCTTCCCCTGGGGGTCGCCAGCTGACATTGCATGGCTGACGGCACCCTGAGGAGTCCCTCTCTGTGGGAGCGTACTGGTCGGTGGGAGGCTATCGACGGCAGAAGGCGGTCCCGCAAATACCCAGGTCCTATGCCATGGAGCACTTTAAAGGTGGTAACCAACACCTTGAAGCGCATCCGGAAGACCACTGGAAGCCAATGCAGCTCATGCAGGAGAGGTGTCACATGGGAGCGACCCCTCACTCCCATAATCCCCCGTGCGGCTGCATTCTGCACCAGTTGGAGCCTCCGGGTACTCCTCAAGGGAAGCCCCATGTAGAGAGCATTGCAATAGTAATTGACATCATTGACATCATTGACATAATTCCTCTCCAGCAAAGTCTTTCCTCTCCCACATTCGTTCAAGATAGTTCACAATTACCGACCTTTATCAGGCTTGGAGAGTGGCCAGAACGATATCTTTCATACTTGGCAAGAATGCAGGAATGAACTAATTGTCTCCTGCAAACTCCACTCCCCCTTCGTTCCTCTTTTATTCCCCATGGGAGGGGCCCTTCATCGTCCACCTGTGGCCTTACTCCCAAGTCGACCCTTGTTCCTTAGCTGTTCCCTTCGTCTGGCAGCTCTGCACATGCGCACACGGGGAACAGGCTCCAGATGTTCGGCTGCCTCACTGATGTCTGACTCTGAAGGCAGCTAATACCGGTCTTATGGCCCTGGCCCCATCTCTGCCTCCGATGCAGAGCCCTCGTCAGAGCCTTCCCCAGACTCCAGGACTGACCCATGTTCCTCCCCAACCTCCTCACCATCCGAATCTGGATGGGGGAAGGCCACGACACTACCACACCTATGATTTTCAATACCTAAGGAAGGTAATTCTCCGTGAAATTTAAATTAGGCAATCATGCCCTGCAAATCTGATGATAGTTTATTGCGACCTTAACTGAAGTGTACAGATGAATGCGGGTGAGCCCATTTGCTACAGAGAAAGATTTGGGGCTCCACTTTCATGCACAACAAAAGAATGATGGAGAGATTTGGAGAAGCCAGGCTGTGCCAGTTGACAAGATAATGAACTGCCAATGAAAGAAAACAGAGAACAAGGGAAAGCCATGATGGATCCACCTTTCACATCATGCCAAAAAAGATGGATAAACTGCTTTTTCTCTTTTAGACAGCAGAATGTATTTTTCCCCTGTTGCCAAGAACACTGAAGAGCAATCCTAGTTGTTTGTTCATTTGTTGTTCCCAAGTCCACATTTTACATTTTGGTTCTAGCTTTATATTATGAAAGCTCTTGTAATCATTTATTTATTTATTTGTTTGTTTGTTTGTTTATTTATTTTATTGGATTTCTATACCGCCCTACTCCCGAAGGACTCAGGGCGGTGAACAGCCACAGAATAAAACACATAAATACAAAAATTTGAAATAGAATAAAAATGAATTAAATAATTTGGCTGAGACAAATTTAAAATACCCCCTAATTTAAAAACAAATTAAAATTTACATTTAAAAAGGGGAGAAGATTTAGGACAGGACAGGTTGATGAAATAAAAAAGTCTTAAGCGCGTGACGGAAGGTGCGCAGATCCGGGATCCTCCGTATCTCCGGGGGGAGCTTGTTCCAGATAGTAGGTGCCCCACAGAGAAGGCTCTCCCCCTAGGGGCCGCCAGTTGACATTGTTTGGCCGACGGCACCTGGAGGAGCCCCTCTCTATGAGAGCGTACTGGCCGGTGGGAGGCTATTGGTGGTAGCAGGTGGTCCCGTAGATAACCAGGTCCTAAACCTAAATCATGACCTTTAATTGGGTGAAATGGTGTATCATAGGATATATATATATTTTTTGAATAAGGACTCCTTCCTTGGACACAGATTGGACCAGAAGACATCCAAGATCTCATCCAGTCCTATGAGTCTGTGGTTCTATAGGGCTAATTTATGGAATGTGTCCAAAATTCAGGACCCATAATTCCAAGGGAATGAATTTGTGGACATTGTAGATGCTTCAGTGCGACTGGCTGCTGCTTGGTTGCTCCTGTGGTCATGTGATTATGATTTCCAACCTTCTGTGACAGTTTCCCAGCCAATCTAACAATCCCTCACTCCTTCCCCCATCCAGCAGCAGCCCCTTGCCTGCTTGCTGGGAAGGGAAGGGAAGGGAAGGGAAGAACAGGAGACTTGCAATGCTCCCTGCCAGATTCCCACAAGGAAATTCAGTGATGAAAATGTAATAAAGCACATATCCATCAATTAACTGGTCAGTGGTGGGTTTCACATTATGTTATTACCGGTTACCGGCATGCATGCACCAGTGGTGGGTTTCAATTTGTTTTACTAACGGTTCCGTGGGTGTGGCTTAGTGGGTATAGCATGGATTGGTCGGCCTTATTTGGTGGGCATGGCAGGGGAAGATACTGCAAAATCTCCATTCCCACCCCATTCCAGGGGAAGGTTACTGCAAAATCCCCATTTCCTCCCGATCAGCTGGGACTTGGGAGGCAGAAAACAGATGGGGATGGGGCCAGTCAGAATTTTTACTACCGGTTCTCTGAACTACTCAAAATTTCCACTACCAGTTCTCCAGAACTGGTCAGAACTTGCTGAAACCCATCTCTGGCATGCACTCTCGCTTCAGGCGCATGCGTGCCCAGTTTGCACATGTGTCTGCCTTCCGCATATGTACCCCACTTTCTGTGCATGTGCTTTGTCCATGCACACGCCTTCCACAATGCGTCAAAAACATGCCTAAATAGGACAGCATAGAGCTGGGGCGGGGGCGGGAGCAGGAGCGGGCCCACCCACGATTTCCGCTACTGGTTCAGGTGAACCTGTCCAAACCAGCTGAATACCACCTCTGGAACTGGCATCCCATATTATCCCAGATCTAACTGGTACAATAGTGAAGCAAATCTGTGTTTCTGAGAACTTTCAGCATTCAAACGCTGCATCTTAAAACCAAAAGAATTCGGTTAGAGATCTCAGCTTTTGATTGCAAATTGAACTCAAGATTTTTTAAAAATCAGATTCATTCTAGCTTCCCTAATATCAAGATAACAAATCCATGCTGAATTTCAATGCTACTGCATGAAAAATCCTTACACTTCAGGCCAGATGAGTGGGTGTATATACAGGCACGGAAGAAATTCCCAAATTTCCATCCCTACTGTAGTACTTTAGGGCAGGGGTGAAATCCAGCAGGTTCTGACAGGTTCTGGAGAACCGGTAGCAGAAATTTTGAGTACTTCGGAGAACCGGCAAATACCACCTCTGGCTAGTCCCAGAGTGGGGTGGGAATGGAGATTTTGCAATATTCTTCCCCCAGGAATGGGGTGGGAATGGAGATTTTGCAGTATCCTTCCCCTGAAGTGGGGTGGGAATGAGGATTTTGAAGTAACCTTCCCCCAGGAGTGGGGAGGGAATGGGGATTTTGCAATATCCTTTCCCCAGGAGTGAGGAGGGAATGGGGATTTTGCAGTATCCTTCCCCTGGAGTGGGGAAGGAATGGAGATTTTGCAGTATCCTTCCCCTGCCACGCCCAGCAAGCCACACCCTGCCCACCAAGCCACACCCACAGAACTGGTAGTAAAAGAAATTTGGATTTCACCACTGCTTTAGGGGAAAAAATATTTCACAGTTTTAATATAGGGGAGGAAGTAAAGTTATTCTATCGTCAAACTTGCAGAGGCATTCTTAACTGAAATCCACACAAAACAACCTTAAAGCAAATGTGGAGAAAAACCACATGGCAGAAGCAGAATTGGAATATGTAATTGCTTCCTTTTTGTCCTCATCCCAAAGGAACAGAAATTAATTCTCTCTCTCACTGAGCCTTACTTAAATGAGGAAGGATGTGCCACACCTTGGGAGCCACCATGGGAAAATAAGACTTGGCAACTGGTGAAACAAATGTTAGTGTTCCCCGGAGTCATTCCCCATGGCTAAATCCATCATCTGTTCTAAAATCACTCTTGGAGACAATAGTCGGAGGCCCCCGTGTGCTGAAAAATTGCAGGTTACCCTGAAATGGTGAGTGATGAAGCTTGCTACCAGCCACACCGATCGTTTCCATTCCAACATGTCCCTGTTCCAACTGAAAGGCCTACCTCATTAGCTTTAACTGAACCACATCCTGTTATTTCCCCTCCTTCTCTCCTTAAAACGAGGCATTTGTAAGCATTGCTGGTCCCACCTCTGCCAAAACTGAAGCATTCCCCACCACCGAGCACCCAGTGCCTGGCCCTTCAGCTCCTGTTGACAATCAATTACGCTCTGGAGATAAAATTATCATTTCATAGATTGTGGAACAAGCTCCTGCTTTGACATTCATCACAATCAGTAATGCATCAGCAGGGGGACACAGGAAATTAACTACCTCCCCTTATGGGAGGGAATACATTTATATTCCTTGCAGCCTTCTTCGCACCTGTTGAATCAGGTAGATTCCTTTACAGGTTTTGGCAAGGAGGCGGATGGTTCTCGGGCGGCCTGTCTTGGAGAAGAACCTTTGAGAACCATGTTAATTCATCTAGGCAGCCCAGCATGGTTATGGTTGAATGGCCAAACCTTGTGCATGAAGAATACAGGGGGGAAAAGTGTGGAAGGGACCTTGGAGGTCTTCTAGTCCAGCCCCCTGTGCAAGCAGGAGACCCTATACCATTTCAGATAAGTGACTGTTCAGTCT